TATTCGGAATCTCTATATACATTCATTCTAAAGAGTGGACCTTGTCCCAGACAAAATAAAGGAAAAAAAAAAGAAAAAAAAAAAAAGAAAAAAAAAAAACGAGAAACCATCTTATACATACAATATATGACGGAGGAAATAAATTTACAACGCGGATTTTAACAATGGTTAAGTGTTTCGTGTATGGGAGCTTAAGTGAGTTTTGTAGTGTGTGGGGTGGGATTAATGGATACTTTTATCTCGATAAATTTTGAGGATAAACAAATATACCACTAGTGTTTTGAATATGATCGTGACTTAGATTGTTCACCTTTGTTGAGCTTCTGGAGAAAATTAACTTTTTGGCTAATTTCACCTATAAAACCGATTGAAATTATTAAATAAATAAATAAATAAAATAAAAAAGTCTTGGGTGATAACGATTTATTGCTATCTCATCTAAATTAAATAGAAATTTGATGCAAATATTGGGGTTGGTGGAACTTAGGTAGGCCAGACTGTCAATTTACTATCTAATTTAGACGGAGTGGTAATAACCCATTTACCACCCTGAGTGTGACCAAGAAAACTCAATAAAATAAAATTAAATTAAAATGCGAAAGAATTGTCACTTACTAGCCAACTTCGTTGACTCTGCTTCGAAATCATATGTCTTCGTTCCGGAATCCCGATATATCACCAATTTGAAGTTTGATGGAGCCTTTTTATTTACTTTACAAGACATCACTGATGTGATATGATATGATGACTAAGAATATTAAAAGAGCGAAACGTGATATAATAACAAAAAAATAATTAATTAATTAAAATGGCATGAATAAAATAGACAAAATTTTTTAAGTGTACCGTTTTGACTGATTCAAACATCGTTCTTGTTTCCGATGGCATTATATGAATATAATCCCCATCAATCGCTAATACACGTTCGTGACGTCCAACAAACATTGGTATTTTACGATTGACTGTGTATTTCTGTATTAGTTGTTTAGAGTAAAGTAAATACAAATGAAATGTGTATAAAATCATAAAAGCAAAATTTTGTACCTTGTACACTGACATAAATTCATTGGAGGAAAAATATAGCGGCTGAGGAGGTTCATTAAGTGTTTTTCTTCTGCTAATACATTTATCTTTAGTCGCTGAAAATGACGAATAATATAAGTAATTGTTGCTTTCATTAAATATATATATATATAAATTTCTATGAAAGATGTGATCTCACCAGTTGGGCTTGGTGGCGTTACGTCAGGAGGAGGAGGTACTCCATTAGTGGGTTTCTCTACTAATGCAAGCTCTTTAGCATTTCCAACGCTTTCAACGGTCTTTTCCATATTTATATATTTATCTGTATCCGCAATTTTTAATGTGTATTTGTTGCTATCCAATTTGCGTTTATGGCAAAGCGTTTCTAAAACGTTTCGAAAAGGCATATCAGCCTGAACATTTACCGTGGTTGTGTGTGCAACCTCTTCACGTGGATCAAGGGTAAGTCGAACACGCAAAAATATTTGGTTATTAATGCTGTTATTTTCAGACGGTGGGTCGGGGGGCCCTTTCGGTTTGAGATTAGAAACATCCTGGATAGATCCTCTCGATTTGTTCTCATTTTGTTTGACTGTATGTTGATATTTTAATCGTTAAAATTAAAAATATTAAATAATTCTAAAAATGAATAATTATGAATTAACCTTGAGCTGGAGTCGCTTTGCATAAAGCAAATTGGTCAAACGAGAATTTTACTATTTTTTGTGTTCTGTCCAGAGCTTTGTTAATTTAAAGACAAAAAAAAAGTTAAGAAAAGAAAAAAAAAAAAGATGAATTTAGCTCAATTTGATAGTTTTGTCACCTACCAGGAAAATCTTCATCAATTTCACCATCATCCTCCACCATTCTCATATTCCAATAATAAACATTACATGACCTTTTCTCTAATAAAGGTTCCCTCTTCTCATCCCAATATTGATATAACGTATATCCTATAACTTCTTCAACACTGGCTTCCCTTTTTACACTTATAACTAATGGACGTGTAGTTTCACTGCTAAACGGAAGGTAAATCTTTAGTGTTATCGGGTTGAGATCCCCTTTTCCAGCAAAGAAGCTGTAGTATTCAGCAAATGGATTGTCCAATTTATTCTTTTTTTCTGCAATTAATGCTGTTAACGCTGAAAAAGGCTTGGGTTTTGGACCATCCTTTGGCGGATCAGGAAAAAGTTCCTTCTCTTCTAATGGTGGTACCGCTGGTTTTGATGGCGGACTCGGCGGTATTTCTGTCAAATCAGCTGTCAGTAAAGACGTCTCTGAATCTCTTCTCTCATTCAATGCTCTATAACTTTCCGCTGAAGTAGTTGGCGATAGTTGTGGTGTTTGTTCATTTGATGATATCTCAAGTATAATGTCTGGAGAAGAAGCTTTCAGTGCATCTTCAGGTGAATAATAATGAACTGGATTCTGACTTCGACGGGTGGGTGGTTTTGATGGAGATATCACAAATACAGGTGGAGGAGGTTCTGTTTGCTTCGGTAAACGAAGTTTGGCGAACTTAGGCCGTTTTCTATAATAAATTATGAATATAGACGTTTTTAATTATTCATCATAAAAAATAATAAAAGAATACACATGCCAAACTTCTCGATCTCTTTTATTTTATTACTATTTTTTAAGAAACAAGATATCATTAACTTATTAGCTTACGTATTTTCATCACCATCGAGTTCGATATCATAGTCACTGTCGCCATTTTCTGTATTATTTATACTTGATTTTTCTCTATCACCATGGGTTGACATTGCATCTCTGCTTCCATTTGAAGAAGTTAAAGTTTTTAACCTCCCGTTAGTCGTCGATATGGGTGAACCAGCAGCACTACTTATTATGCTTCTACTGCTAAAATAATCGTTTCCTGGCATGGAAATGCTGGGTGAATGACAAGTTATCATCTCCGGATATGAAGATGCAGCAGTTTTAATGTAGTCATTTGTAAGAACACTTGGATTGAAACTAATTACGCGTTCTCCGATTCGATCTCCTACACGACGAAGATAACCTATACGTAGTTGGTGAATAAGATAACTTATAGTAATTCGAATCACATTTGCGTTAATACAATGAAGTAAATCGTGTAACTGTAAAAATACGAGGCTTTTATTTACATACTCTGGATCATTCAACACCGACATTGAAAAATTAATAGTTTGTGCGTTAAACCTTCGCTCTTGGTATTTCGCATGAAGTCCGTGGATTGAATACTTGTAAAGGATTATTAACTTACACCTTCTACGTCATGATTTCGATATATATAGGTTCATGATTTTAAATAGAAATCAGGGCACAGTATACAGGATAACTTACTTCTAATTGGTTAAATTTTATTCAATTGAATTTATACAATTTGGAATGCTTTTATTTTTAACCAAATCGGTTTCATTGGTTTTTGATTGATTACGAATAATGGTTGAATCGACTGTTATGCCGGTAGCAAAATTATCAGCTAGGCGTTTTTTACAACCGGTAAACCTCCCTCAAAAAAAATGAAATCGCGTCTCATCAGCAATTTTATCGGTTACAAACATTTCTGTTCAGGACAATTAAAATTTACTCGCACTAGATGCAATGAATACTGTATTATATTTAATGTAATGAAAAGTTACATAACCAGGATGTGATCCATAACTATAAAATCACAGATTATTCTTAAAAGTAATTATTTAAACAGCATTAATTTATCGTTATTGTTATGAATTTTAAATTTTTTAAATTCGTGTAACTATATCGGAACCATTTCCTAATTTGAACCCAGACCGACTCGGAACGAATTTGAATTTTCACATTCTTAATGTTACTACACGGATTATTAGCGATAAATAAACCTCGTGGAAAAACTTCTACAGAGGTTTTAAATACGCTTAAAGAATTTTTTCGAAATAAAACAAATTCAATTGTAAATAAAAAGAAATTAAAATTAGGACATGGTGGCACATTAGATCCATTAGCTACAGGTGTATTGGTAGTTGGTATAAATGACGGGTGTAAAGAGCTATACAAATATATCGGTTGCAATAAGGTTTCTTCAATTTTCAAATAAATTCGATTAAAGCGTACATGGATCTGATTTTTTTTTGATTTTTTTTTTTAACGTTCATGTTTCAGGTTTATTCAGCGACTGGATTGTTTGGTTTCGCAACAGATAGTTATGATTCCTATGGAAAGCTCTTAAAGATTGCACCAGTTAAGCACATCACTAAAGAAATGTTATCATTTACATTACAGAAATTCACTGGAGACATTTTACAAAAGCCACCCCTGTAAGCTTCATTGTTGTTATCATGTCCTAGAGTGTCCTGACTCGTACAATTTAAAATGCATTTTTATTTGATATAAGAAATTTTGACTGCGATATCAGACAAATAAAAAATTAGGGGGAGATAAAGGGGGATAAATATATTTATATTAGTTGTATATATATAATATATATCAACAAATAATTGGCGAAAAAGATTGCTACGTCATGCCGCAATTGTTGATCAAAAATTTACATATTATGTGCATTAGTCTTTATTATGTTGATATAATCAATATAGTTATTTGCACGAATATCGCACTAGTTACATCAAAATAGATAAATTTATTATGCATTTTATATGTCTAAAATGTAATTGCACAAGTCTGGATATTCTATCACTAGCGATGAGAATTTCTAATTATTAACAATTGTTAACAAATTATTATATAAATTTTTAAATGTTAAAGTGATTTATATAGTTAACAATTTGTTAATTGTTAATAATTAGAAATTCCCATCGCTCTATCATGTCTCCAAATAATCCGATTGTTTTAATTATATTATGGTTATATAATTGCATTATTGTCAAACATAAAGGTATTCTGCTTTACGGATGGAAGGACGACGCCTTTATGATTACGCGCGTAAAGGGATTGCACTTCCGAAAAGCATTGAACCTCGTGCAGTCAAGGTTCATTCATTGTCATTATTAGATTTCACTACTAGCCATGATTATAAGCCTCCTACAACAACAGACACAATGCTTCTCGAAGCAATAAAAACATCTGAAAGTAGCGATACAATGAATAAGAATAATCAAAGTAACGAAAGAATTAATGAAGATTCAATTACAGAAAATTCACTATTGAACAATCCAATTTTTAAAATTCATGTCGAGTGCGGAAAAGGAACATATATTCGATCATTAATACATGATATCGGGATAGAGCTTAATAGTGCAGCTCATGTTGTAGAATTGGTAAGATTACAACAAGGTGATTTACAATTACATAGAGACACAGTTGAATTAGATGAATGCTCTGATCTGAACACGATTTTTAACGCCATGGAAAAAATCAAACTAAAACATGATTGTGTGTCGCAACCTCAATGTAATAAATGATTGATAAGATTGTTCCGTAAATATCATTATGTTACTTAAAATGTGATACAGTCAACCCTTCACATAGTCACCTCCTATATAATCACATCATATGTAATCATATTTTTATTTAGACGAACTATGATCTAATTTATAAAAAACCTCCTAAGCATATTTTTAAAAAATTTACTATGTGCCCAACTGTGTGATTCTATGGGAGGCCGACTGTATGGTAATTATTCATCATCATCGCTCTCTTCACTGTCATAATCTGCTAATCCTGTTAACGCAGAATTGTTATGCTTTTGTACAGAATTTGTGTTTGTTGGCTTAATATTTGTCGAGTGCAGGCTCTGTGAAATATGTTTCAATGATTCAAGAGTTTCTGGTGAAACAATTGACGTTTTGTGTTGCATGGATGATGAATTTTTACCACTTTCTGTTGTTTCTACATGTTGTCCATCACCACTTCCAACGGACTGATCATAATTAACGGGTTGTTCCAAACCCAGTGGTGTTTGGTACCCCTCTAGCCCGTATTGATCCGGTATAGAATTATAAACCATTCTAGGCCGTTTGTTTGTGTAATCTGTATTGCCTAGTGTGAATTCAGCAGGAAGACTTTTTTGTATTGCTTGTGCTGCAAGTGCTTCTGCCTTCCTCTTATATTCAGCTTTAGCACGAGGATTTGGATCATCGGTAGCCCATCTAATGATACAAATTAACGAGTTAGATATTATACAAATCAAACAATAAATTCAAATGGATAGATACCATACCGTACATTGAGTACCTTCCTTAATCAAATAATATGATTAGTAATGTGAAATTACATTGAAATGGTGTGTTTACTAATTTCCCCCACCACTTCTGATTGATTCTATTAGTTATTCAAATATCGGAGTATCTGCGCTTGATCAATTTTATAGTACTCCGATAGTGAAGTGGTGGGAAAAATTAGTACACCCGAAATGGGTATTGATAATGCTACAAAAATATGTGATATCTGTGGCAGTTCGTCAACTTTAATACGCACCTCATTATGATTTAAGCTCTGGTTACTCATTGCCTCTTTAGCAAATTCTGCGTTGAGAGAGCTCATATACGTCACAAAAGCTACGCCTTTGTCCTTTAATATTTTAACTATATGTTTAAAATTTTATTACCTATATGTATTTAAAAAAAAAAAAAAAAAAAAAAAAAAAAAAAAAATAATTATTTTTTTTGATTTTACCCCATTCACCAAAGTGTTTTCTAACTATTTCCTAAAGAGTGGAATATTCAAATGTCAAATGAGAAAATATAATTCAACAAATTCGTAATATCATTCGACTTACCTCCATATCAGGATTAATGTGAATATATCCAACGTAAAGCGTCCGATTCTCTCTATTAAAAGAACCAACACCGCCCATATCATCTCGATATTCATTGAATTTATCGCGTCCAAACACATCAATCGTAGAGTCTACAGGGTCCGATTCCGTAGGTATTCTGTGCCAAAAACCACATTCATGTCTGAAAAAGAAAAAAAGTTCAAATACGATGAAATAAATATAATTACCAACAGTTCTATATTTAATTAATTTAATTACCCGAAAGGGCAGCATCCACGTGCAAAATATAGGCAGAAATATGTACTAGGCATTTTATCAGCTTTAGTTTCACCGGCATCAAGAGCTACGTTACAACGCGTTTTTGCCTTCTCTCTGTTCATGAAAAGCATATTAGACAAATGGAAGTCTTTTTTAACGTGCGGAATAATTTACAACCCGAAAATCTCATAAAAACCTTGAAAATCTTGATGTCCTTTCACCACCCGACCATTTATTGTACCAGATATTATAGAACGTGCCAGGAGTATCAGTAGATGAGATTCTTGACGGTCCTACTTTTAGAATGGATTCCTCTGCCTGAGGGACAAATGTAAATAAGTGTTAGTTAAGGAATAGGAATTGATCGTTGATCGTATAGTTGTTTGTAAATTGTACCTGCTTTCTAGCTGGTCTCATTTTCAGTTTTTGCAAGAAAAATTTTGTGATCTATAAACGTACCCAGAAGAATATAAGGACCCCAAACCGTCATGTATCTAAACCGATTTTAATCGGTTCTAGCATACCAGCCATGGGGTTTAATTTTGTGTAACTAAATTAATATAGCTGATGGATATTTAACAATTTGGACAAGAGACCTTTGACTAACCATGGTTTTTACGAATATAAAACTTGTGATAATGAATTCCTACACAGCAAAACATCTTGTTATATCTGTAGCAAAAATTTTAACGTCTTCTTGATCTAAATACATATCATACAGTATATCGAAGGCATTATACGTATATATAATGGACTAGGTGCTGGAAAAAGAACAATTTTTTCAAAATAGATTTATTTACATAAATCAATTTAGAATATGATTAGAATCTTTTCACTTAAAACACAAAAGTAGTTACATTAATAAAATTTTGCATTATTTTCTTATAATTTATTATAAGATTTATAACATAAAAATTGGTTTTCTGTTTTGTTTTTCCAGCACCTAGCCCATATGGGTGTTTTCAAGTATGTATCATTTCGATGAATATGACCGTAGAGCACTTACCCGGGTCAGATATTTGACCCAGGTCATAGCCCGGGTAAACGGGTCATACGGAAAAAATCATAAAATATTCACAGTTAACCCTTAAAAAGTTAATGTAACGACTTTTTATTAGCGTTAGAGCTATTAGTGCAAAGAGCAGTCTGTACTCCAAATATTTGACTAGAACTTTTCGGATTTTGTATTGAAAAATTTCTCGACTTTGTTCATAAATTGAGTTCGATCATTTTCTACATCGGGGAACCACCAGATTGCTGTATTTAACTATGTTGCCCATGGATTTGGCTCGATATTTATAAGTAAATTGCATAATAGTATGTTTTTGCTTATTTCGAATAGACTATAAGTCGATTTGATGTTAGTCGGTAAAAATCGATTAAGTCGACCGATTGTTTAAAAGCGACTTAGTCGAGGGATTACGAATTAGAAATTTCGGGAAAATAGAGTATAAATACTAAAGAATTCGGGATATATATATGTGTTAGGTGCTGGAAAAAGAAACGAAATTGACAAAATAAATTTTTTTACATAAATCAATTTAGAATAAGATTAGAATCTTTTTTCACAAGCACAAAAGTAGTTGTATTAATAAAATTTTGCAGTATAGCTCTTTAAAGTTTGTATTTTCTTAATTCGGTAACTTATCGAATTCGGTCATCG